GGGAGGCAGAGTGTGACGGGTAACGTGTACAGGAGGACAGACATGGGATGCAGAGGGGGACGGGTAACGTGTACAGGAGGACAGATATGACATGCAAACACCTGGGCCATCATCTCACCTGCAGCCACATGACCAGCGGCACCTGGGTGTAGTTCTTTGTGGGGTGATCAGCGTAGTAGAGCCACCAGAACATGTTGGCGTTTTTCCTCACTGACACATAGTTCCAGTCCTCCTTCACCGACCCACCTATCAGAGAAGAGCACAGACAGTCACCTGACAAGTCACATGACAGGGGCAATATGAGTAGGGCAGAGAATACCCCAGTCAGGAAGGATAAATGTGGGGTGGTGGAGGGGGGTAAGGGCACTCACACTAGGGGGAGCAGTAAAGTGAGGGGGGTAAGGGCCCTCACCCTGGGGGGAGCAGTGGAAGGAGGGGGGTAAGGGCACTCACACTAGGGGGAGCAGTAAAGTGAGGGGGGTAAGGGCCCTCACCCTGGGGGGAGCAGTGGAAGGAGGGGGGTAAGGGCACTCACACTAGGGGGAGCAGTAAAGTGAGGGGGGTAAGGGCCCTCACCCTGGGGGGAGCAGTGGAAGGAGGGGGGTAAGGGCACTCACACTAGGGGGAGCAGTAAAGTGAGGGGGGTAAGGGCCCTCACCCTGGGGGGAGCAGTGGAAGGAGGGGGGTAAGGGCACTCACACTAGGGGGAGCAGTAAAGTGAGGGGGGTAAGGGCCCTCACCCTGGGGGGAGCAGTGGAAGGAGGGGGGTAAGGGCACTCACACTAGGGGGAGCAGTAAAGTGAGGGGGGTAAGGGCCCTCACCCTGGGGGGAGCAGTGGAAGGAGGGGGGTAAGGGCACTCACACTAGGGGGAGCAGTAAAGTGAGGGGGGTAAGGGCCCTCACCCTGGGGGGAGCAGTGGAAGGAGGGGGGTAAGGGCACTCACACTAGGGGGAGCAGTAAAGTGAGGGGGGTAAGGGCCCTCACCCTGGGGGGAGCAGTGGAAGGAGGGGGGTAAGGGCACTCACACTAGGGGGAGCAGTAAAGTGAGGGGGGTAAGGGCCCTCACCCTGGGGGGAGCAGTGGAAGGAGGGGGGTAAGGGCACTCACACTAGGGGGAGCAGTAAAGTGAGGGGGGTAAGGGCCCTCACCCTGGGGGGAGCAGTGGAAGGAGGGGGGTAAGGGCACTCACACTAGGGGGAGCAGTAAAGTGAGGGGGGTAAGGGCCCTCACCCTGGGGGGAGCAGTGGAAGGAGGGGGGTAAGGGCACTCACACTAGGGGGAGCAGTAAAGTGAGGGGGGTAAGGGCCCTCACCCTGGGGGGAGCAGTGGAAGGAGGGGGGTAAGGGCACTCACACTAGGGGGAGCAGTAAAGTGAGGGGGGTAAGGGCCCTCACCCTGGGGGGAGCAGTGGAAGGAGGGGGGTAAGGGCACTCACACTAGGGGGAGCAGTAAAGTGAGGGGGGTAAGGGCCCTCACCCTGGGGGGAGCAGTAGATGGATGGGGTAAGGGCACTCACCTTGGGCGGGGGTCAGTAGAAGGGGCAAGAAAGCAACACCGAGTACAATCAGCACCTTCATCCTCCGGCAGGTCATGTGACTGTCAAAAGCATTGTAGATCTGTCGGCGTCATGTGACGAGAGCTGGGCGGGGCGAGAGCTTCAAGTCACGTGACGCCCGGTAGAAACGGGTCACGTGGTACAGCAGTGGCGTTTGAGAGCATGGCGGAACTCCGGGTGAGGCTGAAATTCGATTATCCTCCGCCTACCGAGCCGCAGAGCCATCAGATGTGGATGTTGTTGAACCCGGAGCACCTCCGAACCGTCACCGACCTGTCCGATCTCATCCGCGCCCGATATTTCCCCACCCAGAGGGGGGCGCTGTGCCTGTATGTGCACGACTGCCTGCTGCCCCCCGGGGAGAGCGCCCGTCTTATCCGGGACAATGACGTCATCAGGTGAGCCTCCTATGCGTAGGCTTGGCTCCTCCCATGCGTATTTTAGTTCCTTCCCTGTGACTATACATGGATCTCCCTTGCCTATGTGTATCCTTGGCTCCTCCCCTTCCGTATGTAAATATCTTGCTCCTCCCCTTCTCTTTTAGAGTTGCCACCCTTTGAGTCTGGGACAACAGAATGTAGTGGTGTGTAAAGCTGAGAGCAGCTAAACTGAGCCTGGTTACCAGGGGGCAATTCTGATACTTGCCATCTTCACCATTAGCCCCTCCCACTCATGTGTATCTATGGCTCCTCCCCATTCAGTATGCAGGATTAGAGTTCAGTGGATTGGACACGATCCTGAAGATGATGACAGTGACAAGGAAGGCCACCTATCCAAGAAGAGATCCCGGCAACTATATGAGGAGGACACACCCACCAGGATATCCAAGAAACAAAAATGTGAGGCGCAGCGTGTGGAGAAACACCTGAGTATGAGGGAGGCCGAGCAGGAGGAGTCGGCAGAGGGTTCCAGAAGGAAAGCAAAGAAAAAGAAGGTTTCTGAGGAAAGCACTCCGGAGGCAAAAGCAGCCCAAAAAATTCTGAGTTTACTCCAGCCAATCCATGAGCCTCCAACCAAGAGGACAAGCGGAGGCTCCTCCCCCCACCAGGAACCCTCCACTTCCCACCAGGAAATCTCCACTATAGTAAAGAAGTCCTCCGAGATATCCATCCAGCCCATCACCACCATCCCTTTAAAGAAGCCCTCAGCAATGTCTCTTACACTCTTTGCCGCCCTCTCTGTGAAGAAGAAATCGGGAGTATCGGTTACAAACCTCGGTACCCTGTCTGTAAACAAGCCCTCAGAGATGTCCCTCAAACCCATCATGACCTTCTCTGACGAGGAGCCCTCAAAGATACCCCTCACCCCCATAAATAAAGCAAACCATAGGAGAGCAAGAGAGATCTCCAGCGGTGACTCTGAGCCTTCCTCTGACCAGGAATCCTCCACCAAGCGAAAGAAACCTCCCAAGGCGCTCACTAAAACTAGGACCATGGACTCTGTGAATAAGACTAACTTAAACCATGAGCCTTCAGCTAGGACCTCCAGCGGTGACTCTGAGCCCTCCTCTGACCAGGAATCCTCCACCAAGCGAAAGAAACCTCCCAAGGCGCTCACTAAAACTAGGACCATGGACTCTGTGAATAAGACTAACTTAAACCATGAGCCTTCAGCTAGGACCTCCAGCGGTGACTCTGAGCCCTCCTCTGACCAGGAATCCTCCACCAAGCGAAAGAAACCTCCCAAGGCGCTCACTAAAACTAGGACCATGGACTCTGTGAATAAGACTAAATCAAACCATGAGCCTTCAGCTAGGACCTCCAGCAGTGACTCTGAACCTTCACCTGCCCAGGAATCCTCCACCAAGCGAAGAAAACCTTCAAAGGCGGTCACTAAAACTGGGACCATGGTCTCCGTGAATAGGACTAATGCAAACCATGAGCCTTCAGCTAGGACCTCCAGCAGTGACTCTGAACCTTCACCTGCCCAGGAATCCTCCACCAAGCGAAAGAAACCTTCAAAGGCGCACCATAAAACTAGGACCATGGACTCTGTGAATAAGACTAAATCAAACCATGAGCCTTCAGCTAGGACCTCCAGCAGTGACTCTGAGCCCTCCTCTGACCAGGAATCCTCCACCAAGCGAAAGAAACCACCCAAGGCGCTCACTAAAACTGGGACCATGGACTCTGTGAATAGGACTAATGCAAACCATGAGCCTTCAGCTAGGACCTCCAGCAGTGACTCTGAGCCCTCCTCTGACCAGGAATCCTCCACCAAGCGAAAAAAACCTCCCAAGATGCCCAATAAAGCTGTGGCCACTGTCTCCATGAATAAGACTAACGCAAATCATGAGCCTCTGGCCTTGAGGACGACATCAAGCGTTAACTACTCGGCATCCTCTAATGACCGGGAACTTTCCACGTCCAGAAAGAACCCATTGGGGGCCGCCAGTAACCCCTCCAATCCTATTGCTGGGAAAACTGTATTTTCTGATGAGATGAGGAAGAGGAAGGACAGTCCTGCCTCAGACAATGGTGGCACCAGACCAGGGAGGTCAGTGGATGTTGTGACACTATCACCTCAGGAACCACACGGAGAAGTCCCGTCTCCTGGCTCGGACTCGGATACTTGTATTATCCACAGGCCAGTGGCAGCGCAGTGCTCATCAAGCGTCGCCTCGCCTTCTGTAACCAATGGCTGTGAGGCTGGCGGCAATTATCAGGAACGTGCACCCAAACCTGGTCTGTATGGCCGTGGAAGAGGGAGAGGAATGGATATCTTTCCCTGGAGGGGCCACGGGGGCCGCGGGTTCAGAGGACGGGGAGACCAGGGGAAGGGACGAAGGTACGGCAGCCAGTTTTTCCATAACTATGACTCGGCGGCTCTGAAGAAGCAACATCTGGAAGAACCTGCCACCAATACATCCGTGATCATGGAGGTGAGTGTGGAGGAATGGGGCCTTCAGCTGAGGGTCATCCCACGCAACACCAGTCATTGGCTCTGGGGTAGAAGGGATTCCATGAGGCTGATAGGTTTGGGGCGCATTCACATTGACACGCGGCCATTTGTTACCACGTGATTAGATTTGTGATGTCATTCATTTAGAATGTCACTCTAACACCTGAACACGCCAAAGTACCTGCAGTACATCGCGCCCCGACGCACCAAACGTGTTATGGAGAACTGCACCTCCTTAAAGACGCTGCAAATAACGCTGCATGATCTGCCAGAAATCCAGTGAGCTCCGAACTTTTGGTAGTTAGTTGAAAACAGTTGGTTCTGCACTGAAATCCCAAGTAGTAGGGATGCACCGAATTCCCGGCACCTCCTGGAGCATGGAGCCGGCTTACTGGCCAATCAGGAAGCCAGGTGGCCTGCAATTACCCGGCTTCTTGATTGCCCGGGAAGCCGGCTCCATGCTGTTTGACCGGCTCAATGCTGATTGGCCGGGAAGCCGGCTTCCCAGCCAATCATCATGGAACCGGCTTCCCGGCCATGTCAGGGAGGTGGGTCATTAACTGCCGCCGGCTTCCTGATTGGCCGGGAAGCTGACTTCTTGCAGTTTGGCTGGGAATCCAGATTCCTGGCCTATCCACACCGAGCCAGCCAAACAAGAAGCCGGGCAGCGAGTCATTACCTGCCGCCCGGCTTCCTATTTGGCTGGCTCCATGTTCCTTCGCGGCACTGCTGGTCAGAGGAAATCTCCCTCTGACCAGAGGTTCCGGTATTGAGGGTAACTATCAGTGCGAGTACTCGCCCAAATACTTGGTATCGGCATCAGTACTGGTATCGGTGCATCCCTACCGAGTAGTGTTCTTAGCCCTGACTAGTTCTTCTCTGATTGGGTACAAACCCCAC